GAGATAATGACATGCAATCATCACTATCCTTGTAAAGAAAAGGCCCTCCGTCGCCATTTCGTGAGTAATGCATCATTAACTGCCTTGAGACTTCTGATCCCCAACCCACCTTTCTTTTTAGGTAAGCAAATCACCTACCATCTAATAAGATGGAACTTCTTTTTGTCTTGTGTCCCACTGCACATAAAACTCCTCATCGTTCTCTCTAGATTTTTAATCACTGTCTGCGGAGCTCGAAATAAAGAGGAGAAATAAATCAGTAGATTTGTCATAGTAGTATTGAATAATACTTATTATTATCACTAAGGTTTCATTGTAGTAAATTGATTTATTTCTATTTGTTCTATAAAACATTACAAGATTTTATTATGGGTAAATTCATACCATTATAATTGGTTTCTACCAGGGGCAAAGTCACCATTATTTTCAATTAACAACGTCCTGTGGTGATATTTTTTATAGCAATTCATTCCCATGATAAGGGATATATTAACGGATTAAAACCTTTTCACAAGGGCCTTTGTGTTGTTTTGAGAACTTTTTCCTTAATTATCAATGACAAACACTATTTTAATAGAACGATAAAATGACCATAATTTGATTATGTTCAAGTTAATACTATATTAGAAAAGTTTTTGTGATTGAAAATCTGTCCAATATTTCGACCTATTTTAATAGAACGATAAAATGACCATAATTTGATTATGTTCAAGTTAATACTATATTAGAAAAGTTTTTGTGCTTGAAAATCTGTCCAATATTTCGACCTTGAGATGTAGGATATAAAAAATAGGATCTCAATTTACGAAAATAGTGCATTTTCATTTTCAAGATTTTTTAAATATTTACAAATAATGCCCAATCCTTACCATTTTTTAACTTTTAAATTTCACAATTAGAGTTAAAATACACTCATGCCATTTTAGGGCTTTTTTAGCACCGAAACTACATCTTTTGGCATGATTTGGAGGGTACCTTATTTTGATTGTTTAAACCATAGTACACCCTGCATTATGGTTGTAACATTGTCACTAACTAGACTCAAAGTTCCAGAAGAAATTCTCGAATTTACTGAGACACCCCAGGCCGTTCAAAATTTGACATCTAATAGCTAGGAATGGTTGTCACCTCCAAAAGTGAACTTAGAATATCTTAATCTGAAAATTTGTCCTTAAATTATCTTATCATAGTTAAAAATAGCTTCCAACCAGAAAGTGATCGTGTATATATTGGAAATGGGGAAAAATGGACTTAAAATTTTAAACGTAGTGCATATTGCAACACATTATTTATATGGTTTTGTTAGGCTACACTACTTGTAGTGCAGAAGTGCTCAACATTTTTAGACATTTAGATACCTTTATGCTATAGTATAGTAACTTTTTTTTAGGGGTATTTTAAGTAATTAATCAATAATAAACTAGAAATTTCTAATAGAAATAAAAGCATTTATTAACAATAGTGGACAATGACATCACCGATATGGTGTATGACATCACCCACAAGATGCATTAATTATTTTTTAATACTAATAGAATGCCACTATTTTTTTGCAAAAATATCCATTCTACCCTTCAAAATGACAAAAAATGCCCCTACTTGAAAAATTTTGTATTACAACTCAAGGGTATTTTAATGTCAAAAAATATTGAACACTTTAAGAGAATACACCATCAAGTAGTGTACGCTAACAAAACCCTTATTTATATTGTGTATATTTTAAATATTTATAGATTTGCTCGATGTGCACAATTTTTTGAGCTAAATGAGGGGGTAGAAATAGATTTTGAGGCCATAGTAAAAGGTTTTAACACCAAAATTATATTTTCCAACAATATTTGAGAGTGTGTCTTACTTTGATTATTTAAGTTAGGCACCTTATACAAACCTCACTCATGCATAAGAGTTCCCTAATAAAAACAAAATTCAAGAATTTAGTTTTGGAAAGGCAACAGTAAAAATATTATTCTTTCCTTTTGAGCCAATGTAACAAAATAGGAAATTATATATTGCATGTAATAAGACAGGAAAGTATCCATTATTCTATTATATCACTATTATATATACAATGAAAGAACCACCACAATGTTAGTGTGGGGTACAATTAGTTTTTCAAAGTTCTTCTATTTCTCTCGAAAATTAGTCATGGTATTAGAGCATGTATTTATGGAGCAACCTTCTAGCTTTGCTAGCTTAGAATATCCAAATCATTTTTGCAAATTAAAAATGGCTTTTTATAGTCTCAAACAAGCACCTTGGACCTGGTTTGATTGATTTAGTCCTTATTTATTATCACTAGGGTTTTATTGCAGTATAGGTAATTTATCTCTACTTGTTTGTCACACTTCTCAAAGCATCATTATCCTTTTCTTTTATATCGATGATATTATTGTTAGAAATGATAATTTCAATATGTTAGAATGGTTTATTTCTCAACTTGGAAGATAATTTACAATGAAAGATTTTGGACGACTTCACTATTTTCTTGTCATAGAGTTATCTTATTTTTCTGATGGAATATTTCTGTCACAAAGAAAATATGCCCAAGATCTTCTTGCTCGTGACCTGATGTTAGGTGCCAAACCTAGTTCAACATCAACGGAAGTAAAAAATAATATTCACGGGAATTTTGATCTATTTTTTTATCCATTTCTTTATCAAAGCATTGTTGGTATTCAATACATCACCATAATACAGCCTGACCTTTCCTATAGTGTTAATACAAAGTGTCAATTTATGCATGCTCCTATAATTGCACATTTTCAACATGAACATGCATTTCGGTTAGGGTTTCAAGATGCACAATAGTGACCTCATTTCTTACTTAAGGATGAGGTTTATAAAAAGCCTAGGCTTTATGAAAACCAAATAAGGCCTCACCTCAAATCCTTGTCTAAAAAGCACTTTCGGCAAAAGAAATCTCTATGATGGCTCTAAAATCAATTTTCAACATTAACAATAAAATTTGACACTAAAAAAATGTAGTAGATCTTGACAAGATATGTAAATACCTATTTTTAAGACGAAATAGACGGTCTAGATAATTTATTACAATATGCCCTGTTTTTCCACACTCGATAAAATACCAAACTATACCATACACCAAACTAATCTTCCCTTTTTCTTTTCTTTTTTTCCTTCTCTCCGGTAGTTTCACTTTCCAGTAAAAAAAGATCTCTTTGTTTGTAGTTATCTTGAAAAGTTTTCATCAAAAATAAAATAAAATCTGGGCCCCTTTTAAATGGACAACTGGCAAGGTATGTGTAGGCACCCATCGCTGTGTGTTCAAACTTCACATGGAGTTAGAAGAAAATAAATCTCTTTCTGTGTCTCTCATTTGAAGCCTTTCTCAGTGGTCGCATTATTCTAGAAGAAAAGCATCACCTAACTCTAAATTCCAGGGAAGACTCATCTCTCTCTAAATACTATTCAAGTGAAAACCTCTCTCTCTCTCTCTGATCTTATTTATAGCTTAGATTCTGGTGAAGTGAAACCTGCAAGTCAGAACCATGAGCATGGATGGAGAAGAAGCCATGAAGAAGAAGGATGATGATGCATCAATGGAGGAAGGTGCATTTGCAGGTGTTGAGGTCCCTAAATGGAGGGACCAAATTACAGTGAGAGGTTTGGTTGTGAGCTTTGCCATGGGGTTCCTCTTCTGCTTAATAATACAAAAGCTTTTATTGACAACAGGTATTATACCTGGATTCAATATGGCTGCTGGCTTGATTGGGTTCTTTCTTGTGAAGACATGGAATAAGCTTTTGGAGAAACCTAAATGGAGGGACCAAATTACAGTGAGAGGTTTGGTTGTGAGCTTTGCCATGGGGTTCCTCTTCTGCTTAATAATACAAAAGCTTTTATTGACAACAGGTATTATACCTGGATTCAATATGGCTGCTGGCTTGATTGGGTTCTTTCTTGTGAAGACATGGAATAAGCTTTTGGAGAAGGTGGGTGTGGTTACAAAGCCATTTACAAGGCAGGAGAATACAGTCATTCAAACTGGTGTGATTGCCTGCTGTGGAATTGCTGCTAGTGGTATGTTCTCTCTCTCTCTCGTATTGTTTAAGCTAAGGTGCTTAGTCTGATTTAGTCTCTCTTCTCCTATGCTTTGAGACAAGCTAAATCTATTTGGGCTCTCTCTTTGCTAATTATTTGATGTGGGTTTTAATTTACTCCAGGAGGCCTTGTCTATTCAACTCCACCCACTTATATGTGGCCCCTGGTCTCAGCCATCCCATGGTTGAGATGTGGCAATGTCACAAGCGATCGGACCTTTATTTTTATAAATATTTTTTAAGGGATATCCATATTAAAAAATATTACAAAAAATATTTCTGATCATAAAAAATTAACATAATACTTTTGAAAAATGGTAAGGGTATTTTGGTCATTTATTTTTATATAAAATATTTACTTTTTATTTTTTTCAGGTTTGCCCTAATTTTTTTTTTTATGGGACGCCGAAAATTTCATCAAAAAAATATTTCATAGAAAAAAATGAGAAATAAAACAGTATTTAATGTGACATTGTGGTATATGAACAATGGTACCTTTTGTTGAAAGGTCCGGTTTCTAAAACGTTGCAATCTTAAACAATACAATTAAGGGGCTCCTCCAAATTTCATCATGCAATTTTGGTGTAAAACATTTTTAGGATTTTGTGAAAATCTATTTTCATATCTAATTATAAAATTTTAAACTCAAAAAATATTCAAATCAAAGTATAAGCACAACAAAATCTTGAAAATTATAAAATTTTGGACTCAAAGAATAATCAAATAGAACTATAAGCAAAGCAAAATCTTGAAAATTGACTTTGTAGATAATTTGTTTCAAGATGCATTATTTTTTTGGACTCCAAATCTTTTTTTTATATTCATATATCTCGAAGTCGAGATGATTAATTAGAGGGTTTTTCAACATTAAAACGACCATTTCCATGGATTTTTAATGTGCATCTTTAATTCTATATTTTAAATTTGCAAACCTTATATAAAATTTTTCCTTTGTTGAATTCTGTTTTCTCTCTCTCTTATGATTCATTTTTGTTCAAAAACTCATATGGGGTTTTCTTGGTTTGTGATAAACAGGGGATATGGGACTTATATCATTGCCATGGGCGAAAGGAGCAGAAATCAAACTGGTCCAACTGATTTTTGTCCCAATGGACCTTCTAGTGTTAAGAACCCACAATTAACATGGCTCTATGCTTTTATCATCACAGTGAGCTTTGTGGGACTTTTCTCTGTTGTTCCTCTGAGAAACGTATGCTAAAGCAATGATTCCATAATAAAAGTTTACTCTTAGATCTTCATCCATGTAAAACTTGATAGGTTTTGGGGGTAATTAATTGGGTTTAATTTTTCAAATTTTTTTCAACTGTTTCTATTTTTTGTCACTTTTGCAGATCATGATTATAGATCACAAGCTCACTTACATTCTTGTGAAATTTGTAAGTTTTTTGGGCAATGAGATTCATTTCCTTTTCAACTCTTTCCATGTTTTCTCAATTTTGCAGATCATGATTATAGATTACAAGCTTATCTACCCCAGTGGGACTGCTACAGCAGTTCTTATAAACAGCTTTCACACTCCCAAAGATGAAAAGACAGCAAAGTAAGCATGTATATATATATACACCTCTGAAGCAGATATATATATATATATATATATATATATATATATCATTGGAACTGCTTCCCCTTTCTCTCTCCAACCATTACCCTTCTCTTCTTTTTCATTTTCCTCCCATCCCCTTTGACTTATGAATCTTTTGAAAGTTCAAACACAAGGAAGAAGAGAAGGAGAGATTAGAAAATTAGTACCCAAAGAAGCATAGGACTTCTACCTTTTATATTTATTATCATAACACCCACCCATTTATATGTGCCCAAATAAGGAGTTTTCCTTTTCAAACCCATCTCCTCTTTTACATTTTCCTCCCATCCATCCCCTTTGACTTATGAATCTTTTGAAAGTGGAAACACAAGGAAGAAGAGAAAGGAGAGATTATAAAATTAGTGTCCCAAGAAGCATAGGACTTCCACCTTTTATATTTATTATCATAACATCCACCCATTTCTACATGCCCAAATAAGGAATTTTCCTTTCCAAAATGCATGGGACATGTCATCATGACATCACCCCATGAGATTGACTTCCCTGGGGACTTCTATTACCTTTGATAGCACAGAATCCAAACCATATGCATTCAAATCTCCTCACAATTTCTTGATTCATGACCTTGTACCAAGAACTGATGTTCAGACTTGCCATCTACTCTTTACAGTTCCGTAACTCATGTGGCTTCAATAACTTTAATGACCCATTGCTGTTCTATTAGAAGCCTGAAAACAAACTCTTGCCACCCGTTTATCTTTCCTTTTTCTTTTCTGGTTTGAGTTTCTGCCAAATACCAAAAGCAACATACAATTTTCAGGCTGAAATCTGCAGAACATTCAATTTCAGAATAAAATCTCCATAAGCCTAAGAAGGATGAGTCAAATTTCCTAGTTCCCAATTGGTGGGTATTTTTAGCTGAAATCAGCCAATGAACTTGGATAATTTTATCCAAGACGAAAAGCTCAAATAAGAGAAGAAAGTGCCCAAAATGACTAATTGTCTAATTTAGTTGAGATTCAACTAAATTTGGTTAGGGAAATACAAAGGACAGAGATGTAATAGCAAACTTCGCCAAGTTTAGCTGAATTTCAGCTAAAGTTGGTCGGGAATTAGCAAAAGCAACATGAGGCATTTAAGTTAACATGTATAAAAAACAAGGCTAATTAGAGGCAAACTTCCTTTCTTTTTCTTTTTATTTTTTTTGTTTTTTGGTATTTAGAGATAAACTTCAGTCAGGCTAATTGACTGAATGGTTGGGAGATTTTTGGAGAATAATCACTTGAAATATTTGAAGGAATTTGGAAAATCTCCAAATGGAATAAATTTTTGTTTTTGGGGGGGGGGGGCAAAATTCAAGTTTCAAATATCCCCCTTTTACTCTCTATTTTTTTTTTCATTAGTCAGTCACTTTACATTTATGATATGCTCCATGTTATTCGACATGGATCAGGAAGCAAGTTAGAAGTCTTGGGAAGTACTTTACAATCAGCTTCCTGTGGAGCTTCTTCAAATGGTTCTACAGTGGTGATGGGGACTGTGGGTTTGGCAATTTCCCCATCTTAGGCTTGATAGCACAAGAGAATGGGTGAGTCTCTTTTCAATCATGATCTCTCTCTCTCTCTCTCTCTCTCTCTCTCTCTCTCAATTTGCTTTTACCACCTTATAAAATCTTGGTTCGACTTCTAAAACTGAGCATAACAAGAGACGGACAAAAGCCTGACCTATGTTGAATCATTTGATTATCAGGTTTTATTATGATATGAGCCTCACATATGTTGGAGCTGGAATGATTTGTACCCACCTAATTAACATCTCACTCTTGCTTGGTGGTATATTTCTTGGGGTCTATTGTGGCCCCTTATCAAAACAAAAGAGGGGGATTGGTACCCAGCTGGTCTTAAGGAAAGAGATGTAAAGGGCCTCTTTGGCTACAAGGTGTATATATCAACAGTATATTTCTTATCAATAATTTTTATTATGATTATTTAAAATTCCTTCTCTCCCTCTCTGATAATGGGCTTATCTCTTCAATTTTGTAACAAATTACTAATCAGAGAGCCATATTTTCTATTTTGGAGGTTTTCATTGCCATGGCACTAATTCTTGGAGATGGGGTTTACAACTTCCTCAAGGTATTGGCAGTCACCATCATTGCCTTCTACAAACAACAAAAAACAGAAGCAAATAGCAACCCTCCTCCTTTCACATGACAAGCCAGGTAATATGTCATCCAAAATTCCATTTTACACATGTTTTTGTATAGTTAATGTGCATCCATGCATATGGAGATGAATGTACAATATATTCTCTATCCCTCTCTCATGTATTTATATATGCATGCATATGCAAACTTTCATGCCTATAACAACGTAATCTTGCATGTGCATGTGCATGCATGATCACATGTATATGTGTATATCCATTATGCCTGTGCATCATTATGATGCTCTCTTCTCTCTCTCTGTCTCTCATCTTTGCCCTTCAGAGGAGCCCCTACCCCCCCTTGAGGCCCGACTCAATGAGTTCTTCATGAAGGACCACGTACCTCTGTGGTTTGCCGCCTCAGGCTACACTGCGCTTGCTGCCAGCACCGTTGGCATAATCCCAAAGCTCTTCCCCTCTGCAAAATGGTACTACGTCCTCATCTCCTACCTCATTGCCCCTGTTCTGGGGTTTTGCAATGCATATGGTTGTGGCCTTACAGACTGCAGCCCGGCCTCCACGTAAGGAGTCCTCGGCCTCTTCATTTTCTCAGCTTGGGACGGTCCAGATGGTGGGGTCTTAGCTGGTCTCGCCCTTTGTGGGGTCATGATGGTAATTCTTATGGCAAAATATTTTTTGAAACTGTTTTACTACTAAGAAGTAAAGATGTACAACTTATCAAAAAGTAGGCTATATTTACAAAATAATTTGAGTAAAAAAAAAGTCCTACAATCCAAATGATGCATACTAAAATCCTCATGAAAGTAGAGTCTCAATTATGGCCATGAAGATGGTGATACAGAGACTTTTGTACCCCCAAGAGCATGGGATTGTCTTTGATGGTAGGTTCCCCTCCATCACCATCCAGTCCATTGTTTGGGTTATAGAAAAGTATAGTATGATTTATATGGTCATGATAGTTATGTGATACATGTAAACCTTCATTAATAGCATGTTTGGTGGCACAAACTCTGCCTTCACCACTGTCCAGCCGGTAGAATGGATAGTTACAAGCCCTATGACAATATCGTTTTCATCTATGAACTATGAAAGTAAAGTACTTTCCCTAAAATGGAATCCTTATGAATGTAAAAAAACCAGATTCATCATCATGGGTTTTGACAGTGATGGAGAGAGAATGAAACCTAATGCAACATGAAATAACTTTGATGGCGGGCCCCTCTCTCTTTCTATTGTTGAGTATTGATGTCTTGTATTCCGAGGAAATAGATTTGCCAAGGTGGAGTCAAAAAGATGACTCTGGAGGGCCGTTAAAAGCCCGCAGGGCCTAAGGCCCGTAGGGCTTGAGGTCCGGGGGAGTTGTCTTGACAGGTTGGCTCGACGGACTAGGCCCATGCGAGGGTTTGGGGGCGGCAGCCCTTGAGGAAAAATTCGAATATATTCTTATATGGGATTCGATATATCTGGGACTTAATATATATCCGTACAAGGGTATTTCTGTAATTTGTACCATCTATATGAAACTCGATATATATTGTTGCGATTGGGGGTTTATCTAGGGTTAAGGGAAAACGCAGATCGCTATGTAATCAGAGAGGCGTGAGGAATAGAGCTTTTTGTAACCCTATTCTCCATTGCCTGTAAGGAAGTTCTCATCTCTCGTGGACGTAGGCATGTTGCCGAATCACGTATATCAATGCATTGTAGTTGGTTGTCTTTTCTTTTGTATTTGTTTCTTCTTTCTAGTTTTCATGGATTGCTTTTCGTTTCTACATCCATCAGCTCTAAGAACCATTACATGGACAGTTATGACCTTCATGAGCATTGGTTCCTCGTGGTGATGAGGATTATGGTGTATGGTGTCCTTAGATTGAAAGAATTTGTCTTTAAATAGCATTCAGACAAGAAATACTTTTAATAGAAATAGCCATTTTTTCCGTTTTCTATCAGATCATGGTGCAAACAGCCGCAGAACTAATGCAAGATTTCAAGACTGGGTACCTCACCCTATCTTCACCGAGGTCCATGTTCGCTAGCCAGATCTTGGGAACCCTCATGGGCTGCATCTTCACTCCATTGACCTTTTGGCTCTTCTGGGTGTCCTTTGATGTGAGGATCGCAAAGGAATACCAAGCTCCATATGTTGTGATTTATATAGAGATGGCCCTTTTGCGGGTTGGTGGGGTCTCCTCTCTCCCTAAGCATTGCCTCTCTCTGTGTTGTGCCTTCTTTGCTTTCTCTCTATTAACAAACTTCATCAAGGACTTGGTTCCAAAGAAGGTGTCCTTGTACATTCCCTTACCCATGGCCATGGCCATACCTTTCTATATAGGCCAGTCTTTCGCCATCGACATGGCATTGGGTTCGTTGATAAATGCAGTATGGGGCCGACTAAATAAGAGAAAAGCCGATCTCTTAGGCCCGGCTGTGGCATCAGGATTGATATGTGGAGATAGGATGTGGACTCTTCCAGCTGCTGTGCTCGCATTGGCTCAAGTGAACCCACCAATATGCATGGCCTTTTTTTCGCGAGGTCAAGCTGCGAAGCTCTCAAGTTAGCAGTGGGAATGCACCCATATGTTTGATGATATGAATTTGCAGTCTAAGTTTGTAATACTACCGCCAAGACCCCATGTCATTCTCAAGTTTGGTTGGTTTAAGGTAAGCGTAAAAATAGTTTGATAGTATTGGTTGGTTCTAATGGCAATTTGAAGTGGGTGTGTTGTGTTTCTTATACCTCAAGAGTTGGATGTAAGATAAGAGTGGGGGTTTTTATCAGTGCTCTTCTTTGTGTTCTCTCTAACACGTAAATATAAGAAATGTCAAAGAAGCATAGTTTTCAGGTTTTTCTACTCTCTCTGAATTGTGGTATACCCATGGGAGCTGAACTATTCAATATCTTACCCATTTACAGCTATCTCATCTTCTGGTCATATTCCTGATCATGAGACTTTCTATGGATATCTTAGAATTAAATCAAACGATAATAGTAGAATCTTTAATAGTTCATCCCACATTATTATTTGGGTAAATTACCCTACAACAAATTATAACATCTCTCTGTGTGGATTGGAAAATCAGTAAATCTTCGTACACCATGTCTGTTTTGACATACACATCCCCTCATGGTTCACAAGCACACTATATTTGCTTGTCATATACATATTAATCGACTGTTCACAAAATCGACTCAAGTGATGAAACACAGCCCCACATGTTGAGCAATCATCATTATACCATAGCCACCAAAACTATTTAAAGCACGATTTCCCAAAAAAAATACTCCAATATTTTAGCAAGAGTATTACGAGTTGATATTCATAATAATTTTTGTAGACATGAGGGTGCATCCTTAATGTGATGGCACACCCAAGTGGACCTTACTCCCTTCATGAAGTGATTTATTTTACTTCATGAGAGGGAGGTGGGGAGAGGTTTGCCTCTTCATGAGGGGGTTATTCTCCAATGAATGACATGCATCATGCATCATTAGCGTGTCCATTTATGAGAAGGTTACTCCCACATGAATGAGGGGGGTTTTTCTCTTGCTATAAAAAGGAGAGGAGAGGATCTCTCTACATTCAACAACACACACATAAGAAAGGGTGTAAAAGCTCCATTTAGGAGAGAGAGGTTGAGTGAGAGAAAGAGAGAGTATAATCCCTCTCACATTCGAGTTTTAAGAATAGAACCAGTCCTGAGATATAGAGTTGTACGTTAGAGTCAAGCTCAGACTGCTCCTCAATCTCATTTGTAGGAGTATTCGTGAGGTTTCACCTCGCTTGGGATTTGCCGTGTGGAACAAAATTATGCAGCTCTAGTAGTTGTTGAATGTGCCTACTTGATTCAATCATTCATCTCCATATTCGTTCATTGAAACTCTTTTGCGAACATTGACGTATGATATGTGATTCCTGATTGTTTATTTTGTTTTCGTTTTAGCTGTTGGACTGTTTTTTTTCCAACATTGGTAGCAGAGTTATAGTAGAACCGGGTTTCTGATTGTGTCCGCAACATTGCTTTCGCTTTACTTTTGAAGGCTTGGTTATGGTTAGCTATGATGTTGCAAAGTGCACATGACGGTCATACTAAGACCATGGGCAGGTAGGTGCATTATGTAACCTTATGTACCAACCACATAGTCACGTAAGCATTATGCATTGAGGAGTTGCCAACGATATGTATGAGCTATGCAAGTTGATGCCTCCTAGACCGTGAGCGTTCATGGCTACCTGATTTTTATAGGCATAACATGCTAAGCCATGCATGGCAGGCCCAACTCATTTTTTTTGGCATTTTAAGGCGCAAGTTTTTCTAAGTGGGAGTGCATCTATGAAGGTGCGCCGCTTGCAAATTGTGAGGTATTTGAGATGCTAGACCCAAGAAATAAAGTTCGTATTGATTACAAGCAAGAGCTCAATATGGCCATGCGAAATTATCATATCAAGACTTTTAAGGGTCAAGTTTTTTTCAAGTAGCTAGACAATTAATAAGCATAAAAAAGATAATCTAAGCGCAATCATAGATCAAACAAACCATTAGACATCTATATTGATAGGTGCACTTTTGTTGTTTTACTTAGAATGGCTTCTAAAAACGTGATAGTAGATCTTGCTAAAGGCAAAACGTTGAGTGGGGGCAATTTTCCTATGTGGCATAGGAAAATGCAATACCTTCTAAATGAGCAAGGTACTCTTGAACACCTAACTACCATTACGCACAAACCTGAACAAGGTATTCCAGATGAACTTCGTTGTGAATATGAAACATGAGACAATGCTAATCGTAGCACTCGTTTTACTTTGTTGAGTACTATGGTTGATGACTTCATTCGTGAATATGAAGGATTCACTACAGCGAAGGCTATGTAGGATGCGCTTCAACAAAAGTATGATGGCACTTCCGTTGCTCGGTTACCAGTCTTATCTATAGCTTTTGAGGTATACAAAATGCCTCCAAATGTGTCGATCGCAGACCATGTCAAAAAAATATCTCAAATAATACATGACCTCGAAGCAGCTGGAAACAAACTCAGTTACAATAAATAGATGTTCAGATTGCTTAGGTCTCTTCTCAGTGTTTTAAAATGTGGCCAGATCGTCGCATATGCGGCCGCATCAGGTGCTATGCTCCACCCGACGCATCGCACTTTCCTGCATATGTGGTTTGGAGAGATGCACTCGCATCAGAGCCGCATCCGCATCGACCGCATCAGGCCGCATAATCTATCCGCTATTTTTTTCAAAACTGTACCCCTCGAGTAGGGGCAATAAGGCCATTTCGACCTTTGAAAATGGGGGGAAGGGTTTGGGAGAGTACTAAACCACTTAAACAACATTTTTCAGCCACATCGATGGCTTTTACTGGATCGATTGAATCAAAGAAAAATTTGGGCGAAAATTTTATTTGTTGAAGTTCTTCAATTTGTAATACAAGATACTACAAACTAAATGTCTATAAAGATTAAAAGTTACAAATCTATGAATTTATCCCAGTATTTTTCAAATAAAATTTGTAAGTTTAAAGAGTTTCATGGACTAATACAATAAAGTTACAAATTAATGAGTTTATAAAATGTATTGATTTTCATAAATGCTCTGATATCGTAAAGTTACAACATTTAATTTATAAAAGTTTACAAATCGAGTCGAAGAACTTCATGGACTATCTTCACGATTAAAGAGTTTATAAAATTTGTATATTTAAATTTTTTTTTTGCAGAATTGTGCTTATGGTTGTTGATTGTCGACTATTTTATGAAGCTAGTTTTAAGTTTCTATCAAGAGATAGTGGATACAAAATCTCCGACAGCTAATACTTTTGGAGTTAATGAATAATCTTAATACCTATTATCACATATATCACATTCATATATATTTTTTATGCATTAACCTTTTTTTTTAGCTGGTTTATAATTTTTTTATATTTATGAACCACATCGCCACGATGCACCTGCATCCGGACCGCATCACCGCATCGAGCCCCCCAACGCTGTTGGCCGCATCCCATATTTTAAAACACTGTCTCTTCTAGAATCTTGAGAAAATATCAAGTCACTAATATTACACAATGAATCTGTAACAACTTTTTCCCATCTTTTCCATCAGTTTGAGATAAAAGCTAAGTTCTGCTAATCTTTTGGAGCTAAAACCACTATAGTTGCCTAATCAAGCAAGCCTCGACTTCGTAAACCTCAAGTAAGTCAAAGAATGGGGCACCTCAAAGGAAGGAGCAACATACCAAAGAGGCTGAGGAAAATGAAGAGGCAGAAATAGACGCAGGAGGCGCATAAGGGACAAATCTGAGATAATTTATTACAATTGCAAGAAGAATGACCATTATGTATGCGAATGTCCTAAACTTAGAAAGGTACAAACTGATTTCCCTAGCTATGCAAATGTTTGCATTCAAGTGCTTGCTGCTCATTTACAATTTTCTGGGTGGATTGTGGATTCAGGAGCGACAAGGCATATGACGAGGGATCGAGAAGGGTTTGTTGAGCTCCAAACTTTGCTCATTGGAAGCCAGAAGATTTTCATGGGGACTTACGCATCAGAAGATGTGCTAGGGGTTGGAACTTACCAACTCTGATTTTGAAGTGGACGAACCATGACGTCCTCTATGCTCCTGGAATGAGAAAGTATTTGCTTTCAGTTCTATGTCTAGTTAGAGACATGTGCTTTATCAGTTTCATGCTTAGTTAGGCGACATTTACATTTCTGGATGGTTTTCACTATTATGACCGGATTATGAATGACTTGTTTGTTTTGGATAATAATGTTGTTAATGTTTCACTTCCTTCTACCTATATGATATCTTCATTATTGTCCACCTCTTCTATTACATACAACTCCATAATATGACATGCTAAGCTTGCCTATATATGAAAAGATAGAATGATCCAATTAGTCAAAGAAGGATTCTTGTCTTTATCTAAAATAGACCTACGTATTTGTGATCTATGTATAGCCGAAAAATCAATTAGAAATCCCTTTAGGAAAGCAAAGAGAGCAACTGGTCTTCCAAATGTAATACATTTCGATATTTGTGGTCCATTTAATGTGTCGGCCTGTCATGATTCCTGTTATTTTATCATATTTGTCAATGATTATTCTCGCTACGGGTATGTATATCTAATCTCACATAAATCTCAAGCAATAAATTGTTTTGTTGTTTTATGCTAGACGTTAAAAATTAATTGGATAGAAGAATTAGATCTACCAATTCCAGCAAGCAAAGGCATCAAAAAAGGAGATGGTGGGACAAATCAGAAGAGTTGTTTGATCCAAGCCCGAAACTTTGAGTTTCGAGTCCCTAGAGGTAAGTATATTTTTCTTTGCTTAATTTAGTTTGTTTTTCTTCATTTAATTATTTGTTTTATTTTATTGTTTCTGGAAATTAATTCATCATTAGATTTAATTAAATTTAGAAGCATTTTTTGTCCAATACGGATTTGGAGCTGGCGCTGCCAGTGGAACTCAGAAAAAGATCGGATCTGTATAGATCTGGGATTTTTCTGAGCCTATAATTCAAGCGACCCCACTTTCTCTACCTTTTCAAAAAGTAACTCAGTTTTTGCTAAGATTTGAGCAGATCTCGTGACAGAGATCGATGCAGATTGAGCGTAAACACATACACTTCACCCTAAAAGATCTAGCTTTCCCGAACGATCTATCTATATGCATGCCGTGTGATGGCACATGGATGAGGTTTTGGCCCCCGTCTCTATAGGCCACCATCATACACAAGGGTCACACAGTCCCTCGGCTCACTCATCCGAACATGTTCTTCGACCTCATCAAGGGCTAACCATGAACCCTCCTCGATTTGTTCTTCAAGCCCAAGTAACATGGGTTTTTCTCAAACGACTGGCTTAGATCGTCAAGCACAGTCCAGTATCTGTAAATATCGTTTGCATGGTATGGTCCACGAGGAACCACACTTCCACTGAATTCATGTTCCATTATATCATTTCATTTTACAAGTACTCATAAGGCCTTTAAAGGCCACATAAACCCAACAATTTTTTATCTTATGAGATGCATAATCGCATTAGTATGAAAAACCTCATGACATGGATATGCTCATAAATGTTAAACCCACTTAGTAGTATAAACTTTCTAATATTTTAAATGTATCTGGTCCTCATGGCCAAGTGGGAGATGTTGGTATATGTGAGTGGTCATGGGGCTTCACATGTCTCATAATTCTCTATCTTATTATTTATCTTAATGTTTTAATATTTATCATTTAAAAGGCTTATTAGATAGATAATATGCCTTTATCCAACGGGTAGATGATAACTACCCATCTCCTAAGATTAAAAGGTCATGTTTTTCAGATATTCCAAAAGGAAGCCGAACTTTGGAGAACGACCTCCTCCATCCCTTTATAACTAGGTTTTATCATGGCTATAGAGAGGTACTTACAGATAATTAATTTTTTGAGTTCTCAGTTGTTCTGGTAAAACCTAATCTCTGTGATCCCTAGTCTCACGACACTGTCATTAGTCTTGGGAGCTTGGTGTTTTTCATCTCTTCCTATCAAAACTCTAACATCTTGTTGGACCCAAAAAGACATTCTAGCATATCTGATGTAGATTTGAGGTATTATAATAATTAAAGTAAAAAACATCTTCTTTTTGGAGTTAAAAAAAAAAGACTCCCTATTAAAATGGAAGCCAATATCTCTTGTAAAAAGATCAACTACGTAGGAAGCACTAACCAACACACCAACCTACGACTTACTAATAATAAGTTATATTATAAATATTCGGATTTTTAAAAACCAAAAGTTTTTAATTTTATTTTTGAAAACCCAAAATTTTTTAAACATTTTGGTTTTTTAAAACTGAAAATGGGCAATTCTGTATTTTTAAAAAAAAATTAGGAAGTTGAAAAAATAGATATATGAGTAATAACAGAAACTTTGAGGTATTTCAGTAATAGCAGTAAATATAATATATTATTTTTCCTAAAATTTAAGGTATAACTTAACTTTTTATTGGAATTCACCATCCCAATGAGATGAACGGTGGGATATTCATGCAGGCATATGCCCGCATGTATCTATTAACCATTTTTACTAGATGAAACAACTAAAATTGAAAATAAAATATTTTAAATAAAAAAGATCAAAATACCCTTATTATATTTTAGTCTATTTTTTTGATACAAATATTTTTTCTATTTTAGTTAATCCATTTTTTAAAATTACTTTATTTCTCAAATTTCATATAGATTTAATTTATAAATAGAAATATAAAAATAAAAATATTTTTTAGCCCTTTGATGAGACAATGTTCCATTTGAGCCATTGAATATTGCCTGCGCACATGTTGTGGATGCCATACTATCCCTATTCTAATTTAGATTCGTTTGGTTGTTTTTTAAGTCTTTCGTTTCTCTAGTTTTGTCTTCTTTATAGTTTTCTAACCTTCCTCACATATTTTTAACATAATATTCAGTCCCCACGTTTTTTACGTATATGAAGTTGCGGAGTTTTCTAACCTTTCTCACATATTTTTAACATAATATTCGGTCCTCAAGTTTTGGACGTATATGAAGTCACGGATGAGTTGGTAAAGAAATGGGGAAATCTTGATCAGGTAGTTATTTCATATTATTTATTTTGACTAATGTATCTTTTTCCTCTTTAAGATCAATATAAGCTAAGTAATCTTGTCCCAAAAAAAAAAAAACTCGTGTATATGGTTCTCCATAATGATGAAAATTATGTAAGGTCTTAAATAATTAGGTATAAGTTTTGGGCTTGATTGTTTAGTTGTTGATGATTGATTTTTTATCATTGAACTACGGATAAAATAAGTATAGTTCTATAAAACGTTGCAACATGCTATTACGGGTAAAGTTGTAGTGTTGTAATTGGTTTCTACACGGGGCAAAGTCACCGTTATTTTCAATTAAGTCGTTTGGTGATATTTTTCAATTAGCGAATTAAAAACTTTTCACAAGGGCCTTTGCGTTATTTTAGAACTTTTTCCTTAATTATCAATAACAAACACTATTTTTAATAGAACAATAAAATGACCATAATTTGATTATGTCCAAGTTAATACTACGATGGAAAAGTTTTAGTGATTGAAAATATGTCCAATATTTTGACCTCTGATATAAAAAAAAAGAAAAATTATAAAAAAAACTCCAAGCCCACACTTTCTATGCAACTTACCCTGACATTTTCTTTCACTTTTTTTTTTCAAAACAAACTTTTTACGCAAAACCCCCAAGGGAAAAAGTTCATTTTTTTTAAACAGAAATGCCCTTCTGTACACAAAATTCACAACTAGAGTTAAAATAGACTCATGCCCTTTTAGGGCCTTTCCAGCACCAAAACAAAATCTTTTGGAGGGGTACCTTATTTTGATTGTTTAAACCTTATCACAACCTGCATTATTTATATAGAAAAGTATACAAAGATACTATTTATTTTTTCTGTCTGATTTCAAACCTAGTGGTTGTAAGATTGTCACTAACTAAATCCAAAGTTCCAAAAGAAATTCTCGAACTTATTGAGACACCCAAGCCATCCAAAATTTGTGACCTCCAAAAGTGAATTTAGAATATCCTAATATGAAAATTTGATCTTAAATTATTTTATCATACTTAAAAATAGCTTCCAGCCATAAAGTTATCATGTATATGTTGGATATGGGGAAAAAAAGAATTAAATCTTAATGCATATTGCAACACATTATTTAGATTGTGTATTTTTTAACTGTTTATGGATATGCTTGATGTGTACAATTTTTTGAGCTTAATGAGGGGCAGAAATAGATTTTAAGGCCATAGTAAAAGATTTTAACACCAAAACAATATTTTCCAAAAAGGTTTGAAAGTGTGTCTTACTTTGATTGTTTGAGGTAGGCACTTTATACAAACCTCAATCATACATAAGAGTTCTTTAATAAAAACAAAATTCAAGAATTTAATTTTGGAAAGGCAATAATAAAAATATTATTCTTTGCTTTTGAGAGAATGTAACAAGATAGGAAATTGTATACTACACGTAACAAAATAGGAAAGTATCAAGTATTTCATTGTATCACAAATATATATACAATGAAAGAACCACCACAATATTAGTGTGGGGTACAATTATTTTTTCAAAAGTTCATTTCTCTCTCTAAAATTATTCATGGCATTAGAGCATGTATTTATGAAGCAACCTTCTAACTTTGTTAGCTCAGAATATCCAAATTAAGTTTGCAAATTAAAAATAGCTTTATATGGTCGCAAGCAAGCGCCTCGAGACTAGTTTAATTGATTTAGCGCATATTTATTATCACTAGGGTTTTATTGCAATATAGCTTATTTCATATCTATTTGTTTATCACACTACTCAAAGCATCATTATCCTTCTCTTCTATATCGATGATAATATTGTTAGAGGTGATAATTCAGATATGTTGGAATGTTTTATTTCTCTACTTGAAAGATCATTTGTAATAAAAGATCTTGGATTTCTTCACTATTTTTTTGTCATAGAGCTATCATATTTTTCTGGCGGAATCTTTTTGTCACAGAGAAAATATGCCCAAGAACTTTTGCTCGTGCCCTAATGTTAGGTGTCAAACCTAGTTCAACACAACCACAATGAAGAATGATGTTAACGGGAATTCTTATCTATTTTATCCATCTCTTTATCATAGCATTGTTGGTGCATTCCAGTACATCATCATAACACGGACTAACTTTTCATATAGTGTTAATACATTGTGTTGATTCATGCATCCCTCTACAATTGTACATTTTCAAAAACAACATGCATTTCAAGTAGGGTTTTGAGATGCACAACATTGACCGATGAGGTTTATAAAAGGCCTAACCTTTATGAAAACAAAATAACGCCTCGCCTCAAATCATTGTTCAAAAAGCACTTTTGGCAAAAGAAATCTCCAAGATGGTTCTAAAATCAATTTCTAACACCAACAATGAAATTTGAAACTACAAAAGTGCATCAGATCTAGATGATCTATAAATATTTATTTTAGGGTGAAATAAACGGTATAGATAATTGTTACAATATACACTATTTTTAGAGTTTGAAATTCTACTTTTTTTTCACAACCATAATGTTCAAGTCGAGATGATGATGATTGATGTTAAGGTTTTCCAATGCTCAATTATAATTTTGGACGAGTTATGAGGTGAGGCTTTGCTCAGCCCTATCAAATCATTTTCCCTTACTGAAAAAACCCCAAGTCACATTAAAAAAAGCAATAAAAAATATAGACAAAAGAAGGCCAGTATACCGTAGAGTGACAGCTGCCATGGTTTTTCTATACTTGATAAAATATCAAACTATACTATGCACCAAACTAACCTACCCTATTTTTCTTTTTTTTTCTAGTAGTCAGCACTTTCCACTAAAAAAACATACTTATCTTGAAAAGTTTTCTTTAAAAGGATAAAAAAAGAGCAAAAAAATATCTATGAGCCCTTTCTAGATTTTCTTTTAGTGAAAACTTGTGGCCCATGCGCTGAAAAAGCAGAAAAAGCGAAACAGACAAATGGCTTTCTGAGTGGGCATATTCAGCATGTCCTGCCTCCAAATTCCAGGGAAGACTCATCTCTCTCTAAATGCATGTCTAGTGAAGGCTTCTTTCTCTCTCTCTCAATTCTTTTATAGCTTAGATTCTGGTGAAGTGAAACCTGCAAGTAGGGCCCATGAACATGGATGGAGATGACGCCATGAAGAAGAAGGATGATGATGCATCAATGGAGGAAGATGCATTTGCAGGTGTTGAGGTCCCTAAATGGAGGGACCAAATTACAGTGAGAGGTTTGGTTGTGAGCTTTGCCATGGGGTCTCTCTTCTGCTTAACAATACAAAAGCTTTTATTGACAACTGGTATTATACCTGGATTCAATATGGCTGCTGGCTTGATTGGGTTCTTTCTTGTGAAGACATGGAATAAGCTTTTGGAGAAGGTGGGTGTGGTTACAAAGCCATTTACAAGGCAGGAGAACACAGTCATTCAAACTTGTGTGATTGCTTGCTGTGGAATTGCAGTTAGTGGTATGTGCTCTCTATCTCATATTGTTTAAGTTAAGGTGCTTAGTCTGATTTAGTCTCTCTTATCTCTTTTCCTCTTTGTATGTGCTTTGAGACAAGCTAAAGCTATTTGGGCTCTCTCTCTACCAATGATTTGATGTGGGTTCTAATTTACTCCAAGCTTTTCCTCATTTGTCGAAGGGTGTGGTTTCTATAAGGTTGCAACCTTAAACAATCCAATTAAGGCGCACCTCCAATTTTATAAAATGTAATTTTGGTGTAAAAAATTATTAGGATTATCTGATAAATCTATTTTCATATCTAATTATAAAATTTTAAACTTCAGAAATTGTTAAAATCAAATAGATCTATAACATAGTGAAATCTTGAAAATAGACTGTCTAGATAATGGGTTGCGAGATGCACTATTTTTAGGCTCCAAATCTTTTTTTTTTCTTTTTATATTCATACATCTCAATGTCAAGATGATCAATTAGAGGGTTTTTCAATATTAAAATAACCTTTTCTGATAGATTTTTGAGGTGCATCTTTAATTCTACATTTTAAATTTTCAACCTCATATAAACTTTTTCCTTTGAATTCTGCTCTCTCTTATGATGCATTTTTGTTCAAAAATTCATATGGGGTTTTCTTAGTTTGTGATAAACAGGGGGATTTGGGACTTACATCATTGCCATGGACGAAAGGAGCAGAAATCAAAGTGGGCCAACTGATTTTCGTCCCAATGGACCTTCTAGTGTTAAGAACCCACAATTAACATGGCTCTATGCTTTTATCATCACAGTGAGCTTTGTGGGACTTTTCTCTGTTGTTCCTCTGAGAAGGGTATGCTAAAGCAATGATTCCATAATAAAAGTTTACTCTTAGATCTTCATCCATGTAAAACTTAATAGGTTTTGGGGGTAATTGGGTTCAATTATTTATCAACTGTTTCTATTTTTGTCACTTTTGCAGATCATGATTATAGATCACAAGCTCACATACGTTCTTGTGAATTTATAAGTTTTTTGGGCAATGGGGTTCATTTCTTTGTCAAAATTTCAACTGTTTCTATTTTTATCAATTTTGCAGATCATGATTATAGATTACAAGCTTCCTTACCCCAGTGGGACTGCTACTGCAGTTCTTATAAACAGCTTTCACACTCCCAAAGATGAAAATAAAGCAAAGTAAGCATATCTCTCTCTCATTGGAGCTGCTTCCCCCCTCTCTCTCTCCAACCCTTACCCTTCTCTTCTTTTACATTATTCCCATCCCCATTGACTTATGAATCTTTTGAAAGTTGAAACACAAGGAATAAGACAGTAGAGATTATAAAATTAAGAAGAGAAAGGAGAGATTATAAAATTAGTGCCCGAAGAAGCAAAGGACTTCTGCCTTTTGTAACTATTATCATAAAACCCCCATTTCTAAAGGGAAATGTTTCCCAACAACATATAAATTACATGTGACCCTACTTTTTAACCATTCGATTTGAATCAAACGGCTACAAAATGTCATGACAAACACTATTTTATTTTTTATTTTTTTCTACAAAAAAAATTTGGATAAAAGTTTGGGCATCCCATTATAGAAGTATGGTGAACCTGGAGAAAATAAAAAATAAATATTTTCTGTAAAAATACATGCGCGCCCCATGTATGCGTGCTCCAAATTTTGCTTCAAAATTATTCATAAAACAAAAATAAATAAATAAAAAACTATTAACCACCTTATCAATAGATAATAGTTAAGAGCTAGCTTGTGACAATGTAACTCAAGCCATCCCAGCCATCTACTCATAACAGTGAGACAAGGGTCACATACACTATATACATGGAAAGCCCTCCCATTTCTAAATGCCCAATTAATAGTTTTCCTATCCAAAATACGCTGGACATGTCATCTTGACATAACCCCATGAGATTAACTTCACTGGGGACTTCAGTTACCTTTGGTAGCACAGAAGTCAAACCATATACATTCAAATCCCCTCACAATTTCTTGATTCATGTGCCCTTGTTCTTTCTCTCTCTATCTTGTAGCAATAACTGATGTTCAGAATTGCCATCCACTCTTTACATGTCATTAACTCATGTGGCTTCATCAATTCTTGTGACCCATTGTTTTTCTCTTAGAAGCCTGAAAACAATACTCTTGCCACCCATTATCTTCCCTTTTTCTTTTCTTGTTTAGGTTTCTGCCAAATACCAAAAGCAACATACAATTTTCTGGCTGAAATCTGCAAAAAAGTCAATTTCAGACTAAAATCTGCATAAGTCTAAGAAGGATGAGTCATATTTCCTAATTCCCAATTGGGTATTTTTAGTTGAAATCAGCCAATGAACTTGGATAATTTTATCCAAGACAAAGCTCAAATAAGAGAAGAAAGTGCCCAAAATGACTAATTGGCTAATTTAGTTGAGATTCATCTAATTAGCCAAGGCATTTAAGTAGACATGAGGCGAAAACAAGGCTAATTAGAAGTAAACTTCCTTTCTTTTTCTTGTTTGTTTTTTGTTTTTTGGTAATTAGAGATAAACTTCAGTCAGGCTAATTGACTTAATGGTTGGGAGATTCTTGGAGAATAATCACTTGAAACTTTTGAAGGAATTTGGAAAATATCCAAATGCATCGAACTTTTCTTTTTGGGGGGCCAAATTTCAAGTTTCAAATACCCCCTCTTTTACTCTAATTTTTTTTCATTAGTCAATCACTTATCATTGATGTTATGCTCCATGTTATTCGACATGGATCAGGAAGCAAATTAAAATCCTTGGGAAGTACTTTACAATCAGCTTCCTGTGGAGCTTCTTCAAATGGTTCTACAGTGGTGATGGGGACTGTGGGTTTGGAAATTTCCCCATCTTAGGCTTGAAAGCACAAGAGAATGGGTAAGTCTCTTTTCAAACATGTACTCTCTCTCTCTCTCTCTCTCTCTCTCAATTTGCTTTTACAACCTTATAAAACCTTGGTTCAACTTCTAAAACTGACCATAACAAGAGTTAGACAAAATCCTGACCCATGTTGAATTATTTCACTTTCAGGTTTTATTTTGATATGAGTCTCACATATGTTGGAACTGGAATGATTTGTCCCCACCTAATTAACATCTCACTCTTGCTTGGTGGAACTATTTCTTGGGGTCTATTGTGGCCCCTTCTCAAAACAAAAGAGGGGGATTGGTACCCAGCAGGCCTTAAGGAAAGAGATATAAAGGGCCTGTCTGGCTACAAGGTGTATATATCAATTGTTTATTTCTTATCTGTAATTTTTATTGAAATTAGTTAAAGTTCCCTCTCTCCCTCTCTGAAAATGGGCCTTATCTCTTCAAATTTGTAACAAACTACTAATTAGAGGGCCATATTTAATGTGTTGCAGGCTTTCATTGCCATGGCACTAATTCTTGGAGATGGGCTTTACAACTTGCTCAAGATATTGGCAGTCACTATCATTGCCTTCTACAAACAACAAAAAAAGAAGCAAATGGCGACGCTTCCGCTCTCACATGACAAGCCAGGTAATTGTCATCCAAAATTCAATTTTACACATGTTTTCGTATAGTTAATGTGCATCCATGCATATGGAGATGACATAAGAATGTACATCGTATTGGCATGCATGTCTGCAAACTTTCATGCCTATAACAAAGTACTACTGCATGTGCGTGTCCATGCATGATCACATGTATGTGTATGTCCATTATGCCTGTTCATCATTATGATACTTTCCTCTTCTCTCTCTCTCATCTTTGCCCTTCAGAGGAGGCCCTACCGCCTCTCGAGGCACAACGCAATGAGATCTTCATGAAGGACCGCGTACCTCTGTGGTTTGCCGCCTCAGGCTACACCGCACTTGCTGCCATCTCCATGGGCGTAATCCCAAAGCTCTTCCCCTCTGCAAAATGGTACTACATCCTTATCTCCTACCTCATTGCCCCTGTTATGGGGTTTTGCAATGCCTATGGTTGTGGCCTTACAGACTGCAGCCTAGTCAGCACGTATGGAAAAATTGGCATCTTCATTTTCGCAGCTTGGGCTGGTCAAGATGGTGGGGTCTTAGCTGGTCTCGCCCTTTGTGGGGTCATGATGGTAATAATTATTATTACAAAATATTTTTTGAAACTGTTTTACTATTATGAAGTAACGATGTACAACTTATTAAAAAATAGGCTATATTTACAAAATAATTTGAGTAAAAAAAAGTCCTACAATCCATATCATGCTTACTATATCCTCATGAAAGTAGAGTCTCAATTATGGCCATGAAGATGGTGATACAGAGACTTTTGGACCCTCAAGAACATGGGATTGTCTTTGATGGTGGGTCCCCCTCCTCACCATCCAGTCCATTGTTTGGGTTATAGAAAAGTATAGTATGATTTGTATGGTCATGATAGTCATGTGATAGGTGGCAAACACACTCCCTTCACCACAGTCCAGCCTGTAGAACGGACGGTTATAAGCCCTACGACTATATTACTTTCATGCATGAACAATGAAAGTAAAGTACTTGCCCAAAAATGGAATCCTTATGAATGTAAAAAAGCCAGATTCGTCGTCATGGGTTCAGACAGTGATGGACAGAGAATGCAACCTGATATAACATGAAATAACTTTGATGGCACGCCCCTCTCTCTTTCCATCACCTCCAAGACCCATTACATGAACAGTCATGACCTTCATGAGCATTGGTTCCCCATGGTAATGAGGATTATGGTGTATGGTGTCCTTAGGTTGAAAGAATTTATTTGTAAATGGCATTCAAAAAAGAAATACTTCTAATAGGAGTAGCCATTGTTTCCTTTTTCTATCAGATCATAGTGCAGACAGCCTCAGACCTAATGCAAGATTTCAAGACTGGGTACCTCACCCTATCTTCACCAAGGTCCATGTTTGCTGGCCAGATCTTGGGAACCCTCATGGGCTGCATCTTGGCTCCACTGACCTTTTGGCTCTTTTGGGTAGCCTTTGATGTGGGGATCTCAAAGGAATACCAAACTCCATATGCTGTAGTTTATAGAGAGATGGCCCTTTTGGGGATTGGTGGGGTCTCCACTCTCCCTAAGCACTGCCTCTCTCTGTCTTGTGGCTTCTTTGCTTTCTCTCTATTAACAAACTTCATCAAGGACTTACTTCCAAAGAAGGTGTCCATGTACATTCCCATACCCATGGCCATGGCCATACCATTCTTTATAGGCCCGTATTTCGGCATCGACATGGCATTGGGTTCGTTGGTAAATGCAGTATGGGGTCGACTAAATAAGAGAGAAGCCGATCTCTTAGGGCCAGCTGTGGCTTCAGGATTGATATGTGGAGATGGGATATGGACTCTTCCAGCTGCTGTGCTTGCATTGGCTAAGGTGAACCCATCAATATGCATGGCCTTTTTATTTAGAGGTCAAGCTGCGAAACTCTCAGGTTAGCAGTGGGAATGGACCCATATGTTTGATGATATGCATTTGTAGTCAAGTTTGGTTGGTTTAAGGTAAGCATATTGATAGTTCGATAGTATCGGTTGGTTCTAATGGCAATTTGAAGTGAGTGTCTAAGAGTTGGATGCAAGATAAACGGGTGGGGATTTTTTATCAGTGCTCTTCTTTGGGTTCTCTCTAACAGGTAAATGTCAGAAATGTCAAAGAAGCATAGTTTTCAGGTTTTTCTACTCTCTCTCTCTCTCTCTCTATTGTGGTGTACCCATGGGAGCTGAACCATTGAACATCTTACCCATTTACAACTATCTCATCTCCTGGTCATATTCCTGATCATGTGCCTTTCTGTGGGTATCTTAGAATTAAATCAAAAGATAGTGTATAATCTTTAATAGTTCATCCCTCATCATTATTTGGATAAATTCCTCAGCAACAAATCATAAAATCTCTCTTTGAGTGGATTGGAAAATCTGTAAACCTTTATATGGAGTACGTCATACACCATGTCTATTCTGGCATACATACACATCCCCTCATTGTTCACAAGCACACACTATATCTGCTGTCACCTACACATTAACCGACTGTTCACAAAATCAACTCAAGTGATGAAACATAGCCCCACATGCTGAGCAATCATCTTCATACCATACCTACCAAAACTGTTTAAAGCATGATTTTCCCAAAAGAAATACTCCAAGATTATTGGGAGGTGATTTTCATAATAATTTTTAAAAAGTAAGCTCGGTTTTTTGAACAAGATGTCACAGCATTACAAAGTAAAAAAATAAGATTCAATGAACTTTTTAAAAATTATCTTAAATTTATTCTTCTTTGTTAGTTTTTGTTCTTATCTAATTGGATACATTTCTCTTTGAGCATCATAAAGGTATTATTAATATGGATTTATTCATTGATCAGTAGCATTATAAAATGAAATCCTTTGTTTTCTTGAAAATTAATACACTCCTCTCTCTCTCATACTAACGAATATATAAACGTTTTTAATCCACTTTTTCAAGTTAAATCAAAACCAATCACATACTCTCCGCTGAAGATATTCGGCACTTCATTTTCTTTGGATCCATTTTTTTGACTCCCTTATTTTTGAACCAAAACCAAAATAATAGACTTTTTCGTTTAAATTAGACATTGTTCTTTACCGCATATCCATTTTAGTAAGAGAGAATGGATTGCTTGAGCAAGAGGCAATGGATGGTATCCGACTGCGTGTTACAGAATGCACACCTAATCAGTGCTCTAAAAACAGGCACGCGATCTCATAACTGTTTATGCTTGGAACCGGTGGGCAGGCGGTGGAAGTCTTGCGAAACCCATTGGTTCATTTATTAGTAGTGTTATTATTATTTGGTTTCATTAACAAAAAGCTTCCCTGGATAACCAGCCAATTCCTAATAATCCGGATAGGAAGAAGTCGGGGATCAGTGTGGGTCACCAGTCCTTGCCGGTCTGGTCCTTCGTCTTTCCAGATCGAAAGAAGTAGGGGATCGGTGTGGTCACCAGTCCTTGCCGGTCTGGTCTTAGGTCTTCAAAAGAGTGTTTGTAATATGAGCACAGGAGAACATAGTAGCAGGGAAGGCGCGACCCCAGCAAATGTAGAGGGGCAGCTTCCCACCACAATATTTCATCAGAATTAAAGAATGAATGCAAGTAAATCAAAGATTTGCATTAATCATCATCGTTTTAGCCTTTTTCTAATTGTTATTTTTATATCTCCTCCATGAAACTTCAGCCTAGCTGACTGAGGCGTGCATCCAGTTCTTTTGTGAGAAGTTCAAGTGACACATGCGTCAAGAAAAATCTCAGTTTACAGAGCCAAAGTACGAACTCATTCTTGAAAAAACTATCAGAGTTAATTTTCATTCCAAGAAAATACCATAACGAAGTTACTTCCATTCCCGAAAATGGAAAAAGAGTTGCTCATTAACAAATTGTGAAGATTTCATTCAATCTCTTAGTAAATCACCTAAATGCCATCTTTTATCATTTCCTGTCGCCTACATATAAAAAATGCAAAAGAAACCAATCAGGGGTGGTCGGGTATGGGTTGGATCCTGCTGGACCCGAATAGTACGAGTTGGACCCGTCTCCTGACCCATGCTGACAGGTCCAAAGTATCCAATACCTGTTCCTGTTTATCGGAACGCAGGTTTGGATCCGAGACCCAACCCGCGCACCCAGAATACTCTCTCTCTGCTCCTCTCTCTCTCTCTCTCTCTCTCTCTCTCTACTCTCTCCTCTCTCTCTCTAAGCTCCTCAAGAAATCCATCTCTGATAGAGAGTCCCTATCTCTCTCTCTCTCTAAGCTCCAATACATTTTCATCTCGCACCTGCATATCAAAGTCTGTCTCTCTCTAAGCTCACACACATTTTCGTCTCGTACCTGCAAATCAAGGAGCACACATCTCCAAGAACACAAGATCGGCCTCATGTTCAAGAAAACCAGTTAAATCTTTTGACCCTGAAACAAAGCTTTCCGAAACCTCTTTTGAAGGTACTCTCCCTCTAAACCCCTATTTCGATGCAAGAGTACTCTCTCCAGACCCTATTGCCCCACTCCCAGCTCTAAATCCAAAATCCAATTATGATTTCTCCCTATACCCATCTTCCAAAATCCCAAACTCCAAACTCATGAAGCCATTATTTAAGCTCGGAAATGTTGAAAATACTTGAAAGAAGAGATGGACCTACTTTTAGAACTAAGGAAAGTGTCTTTAGACTATTGATCGCAAAGATCAGGTTTTTACCAAAACTGTGAGAATTCAGTAAATTTCTGTGTACCTCTCCATAGTCATGAAACCCTTCATTAGGAGGGATGTCATTCTCCAACGTTCAGCTTCCTCTTGAAATCTCTGAGAAAAACGTGGCCTGTAATTTTGAGAAGTGGGTGGTTACTTTCTAGCCGTTAAATAACTGCACTTTCTCTCTAAGAAACCTCTTTTTTTAGTGATAAGCATTAAATTATAAGAGAGAGAAAAATTGCACTTTTAAAGGCCCCATGACCACACACATACCAATATCTCCCACTTGGCCATGAGGGCCAGATATATTGAAATATCATAAAGTCTTTACCACTTAATGAATTTAACATTTATACGCAAATTTTTGTTATAAGGCTTTCACGCAAGTACGGTTATACATCTCATAACAAAAAATATCCAAAGTCAAACCTCCTTTTTTAGTGACAAGCATTAAATTACAGGAAAGAGAAAAATTGCACGTTTAAAAGCCCCATGACCACACACGTACCAATATCTCCTACTTGGCCATGAGGGCCAGATATATTGAAATATCATAAAGTCTTTACCACTTAATGAATTTAACATTTATACGTAAATTTTTGTCATAAGGCTTTCACGCAAGTGCGGTTATACATCTCATAACAAAAAATATCTAAAGTCATGTCATGGTTTTCACACTAATGCGGTTTTTCCTCTCATGACCAAAACATCAAAAATATCCCATTTGGGAGTTCTTGACTTAAATATTTTTAAGTCCCATCAAAACTACATGCTTTGATAATATTTATGCATTCAATCCCTTTGTTAAAGAGTCAGCAATCATATCTGAAACTTACAGTTATTTCATTCTTTCCAATAATATCATAAATATAATGATAATCAATTTTAATTTGCTTACCCTTGGAACTATAAGCTTCATTTCTAATTGATGAAATTGCAGCCTGATTATCACAAAAAAATTTAACAGGTCCGTCGGCTATATTCAGCTTCAAATCATTTATGAAGCGTTTAATCTAGAAGGCATAAGTTGTAGCAATACTACATGGAATATACCCGGTTTCCATAGTATACCGAGCTACACAACCTTGTTTCTTACTAGACCAAGAAATACATCCATCATTAAAGAAGGATATAATTCCTGAGGTTGATTTCCTATCATCTAGGTCTCCTGCAAAATCTGCATTAGCGTACCCAGTAACCTCTAAGTTGTCAGCTTCGAAGCAATACAATTCATGAGGTTGATTTCCTATCATCTAGGTCTCCTGCAAAATCTGCATAAGAGTACCTAGTAACCTCTAAGCTGTCAGCTTGGAAGCACAACTTGTAATTTTTAGTTTTCTGAATATATTTGAGTAACATTTTTACAGCTTGCTAATGAATCATCTCAGGATTACTCTGAAATCTACTTACAAGACCAATGCATGACTCAAATCAAGTCTTATATATAACATGGCATAATTTATGCATCCTACAGCTTGAACATATGAAATTATTTCTATTTCGACTTTGTCACTAACATTTAATGGACACATTTTCTTTGATAATTTTAAACCTTTACAAACAGGTGTATCTATGGGCTTGCAATTTTCCTTCTTAAATATAAATAATTTTCTTGAGATAAATATATAAGCCTTGAACTTCTATCTCTTGTTATCTTAATCCCCAATACATATGAGCTTTCTCCCATATCGTTCATATCAAAATGAGAACTTAGCCATGATTTG